AGGAGAGTTCAGTGGGGATGGTCGCAGGATGAGATTAATGGCAATTTACCATTATCAAGAGCGATCGGATATAATGGTGCATTGGGACTACCAAGGGAGTTGTTTGTGAAGACTATTCACGGAGTTGTAGACACTGTGGATAAATACCTCTCCAAGAAGGGCCCCTTCATCGTCAACGAATCCAAGGTGAGGTATGGGGAAAATACCCTCCTAACAGCCTCCACTAAGGGATTCCGCCCCCTCCCAGAAGTCGTTCGCACCTTGAGGAGAACTGCCATTGGAGCCTATACATTCTACTGGGGAGAACGCGAATCCGGAGTCGTTGAGATGCTTAAAGATAAATACGGTAATATAATTCAATCTGATCGGTTTTCGCTATCAACGACCATCTCCCGCGTTGGAAAGGCCGTTTCCGAACTCGGCTTTGTGGTCAGAGCATCCCCTGATGGAGAAGAGCAGACAAAGATAATCTATCACCCTCAAAAACATAGAATCGCGATTCACCGTGAACAATCTTCTCAACTTGTCACCACGAACATCCTCGGGAATAGTACTGTTTGGGGACATTTTCGGCCACTAATTCTTGCCCGGACTAATGCAGAGGAGGATATTAATGTTGAGATCTTTGTTGATGGCTCCTTGATTGAGATCTTTGTCAATGACCGTTTTGCCGCTACCACGAGGGTATATCCATGGCGAGAAGATAGCCTGGGTATAGGGTTCTATGTGGAGAAGGATGAGGGAGCCCAGCCCGAATGTGATGATGATGAGACTATTACGATAGAGCACATGAGGCTGTGGACTGGGCTGGGAGAGAAAGTTGGCAAGAATAATTTGGGTGGGGGGGTTGTTTGGCCCAAACGGCCTTTGAATTCGAGTTCGAAGTTGGTGTGGGATTCATCAGATCGTAGTGGCAATGGGACTTGGTGGGCTGGGTATTAAGTAATTTTGATGGGCTGTGAGCCAGGAAAATAGTAATCGTCTGGATGGAGATAGCTAGCTTATTACGGCGCTCTGCACAATACCAATGCCGCGAGTAATTTTAAGAACGAACAATAGCACTCTATTACTTCATAAAGTTCAATTCACCCTCCTCTGGCACAGGGGCGCATTATGCTGGTTCCATGGCCCCAAGACGCCGACTGGATATATAGACACACCAAAAAAAAGGAGTAAGGATGAAAAATGTTAAGTGGCATCGCCCACTATTCTGGCATGGGGCCCCGACCCACCCAAGTTCGTGTATTTAGTGCCGGACCTGGCAGATTAACTTGCCTTGTCCCTGAATCCACCCGGGTTTCCAGGTGGCCCATGATGGTCCCCCAAATGGGACAGCATATGAGTAATTTTTCTTTTAGAAAAACAGAAAAAGAGGCGTGGGTGACAATCTTACAGAGGTAAATATGGTACTGCCCTAGATGCAGCCGCATACGATTGCTATGGTAAACATATCTGGAGGCGCAGACATCAACCCTCACTAGTGGATTATATGGTACTGTACAGCAATAAGCGCTGCTATATAGGGTGGCTGCCAAACCTCTAGATCGAGGGGCCAGTCCTTACCTGACGAACAACAAGGGCGCATGGCCCGTGACCCGGCGGAACAGAAAGGTCATCAAGTTATGTTGGACTATAGGTGTATCAAAAGAAAGCCGAACGAACCAACTGGGAATCAATGTCCAACTAGATCTCCTATTATTGTAGGGAATCTCTGTCTAGGTATTCCGGGCCCTAGGGCCCAGATGAGGGGCTCCGGGAAGGGCGTGTTCTATTCATCTTTCTGTGTGTTGGCAACTTGAGCCAGGACAAGAGTCAGTGTTTGAAATTGCCACCAGAGCATGGTAGGTACTTGTAACCTACTAGGTAGTCCTGATAGGATGGCTCCTGGCAGGGCCATATTCTAGTATATATATACATTCTATACGAATATTTTCATTACCCTGCGCGCCAGTGCTTCGTAACTTATAATAACTTCCAGTACATAATACCGGTATGGTGGTGGCATGGTTTTATGAATGGCTACATGCATATGCACAGTGGCATATTGTGCTACCCATGTACCAGACAAAGCTACGCGATCGTGGATACTACTCGGTGAAGTATCCTGAGAGCCCAAATGGGTTTTAGTAGTGTTGGAGCTTTCCCCAGTTATGGATATCCCAATAGTGGACTTAGGTCTGACTGAGGAGGATAAACAAGACAAATGGGTAAGGAGAATTGATACCATTAGATAGGATGCAGTTGTCATATACACCGATGGCAGTATGGGAGAAGATGGGCGAGTGGGGGGTGGTTGGTGCTCGGAGGGTAGAAGTATACAGGGGAGCGTAGGCCTAGGAAGAATCTCTACCGTTTGGGATGGGGAGGTGGCGGGATTGAGAGAGCTCTGTCAACTGCGCTACTAGAATGGAGAGTCTTGATACTGACCGTTGCGGCAATCAAGAACGCAGGCAAGAAAGGCAAAGCAAGGACAGCTGACCTAGTGAGCATTAGTCAGGCAATAAGAGCGAGGCAGGAGGCCACAGGTGGGGGATCGGTTAGACTCGGTTGGGTGAAAGCTCATGTGGGCATACCGGGCAATGAGCGAGCGGTTACAGTACCCTCGCCAAGGCAGGGGCGGAGGAAATGGAACCCCTAGCCCTTCAGATCACAGAGGGAGGCCTGAAACAAGAATGGAAGAGGAGGCGGGAGAAGGAAAGGATAGTAATGGGGACTGGGACAGGAAGAGTGGTCAGGTGGGGTAGGAGGGCAAGGGTAAACTTCGTCCACTGCAGGACAGGAAAGGGGAATCTCCAATCCTGGAGTGCTAAGCTGGACGACTCGGTTGATCCTAGATGCCGAAGGTGTGGGGAACAAGCAGAGACGGGCTGGCATGTGGCTAACCTGCAGGTATGGGGAAGGGTTAGGTAGAAGATGGAGCACCTGGGAAGAGGTGGATGATAGGAAGAGGTGGGTCAAGAAGGTGAAGGGCGGGGGGAAGGAAGCTATAGAGGATTTGGCTGAGACCTTCTTCGCCAACCTGGACCTGGTATGAGTAGTGGGCTTTGGGAAGGGGAGGGCCGGGATTGGGCGTGGCGAAGGAGGACTTTCTTTCTGGGGGGCCCCTTGGGGGGCGTGGCGGGGGAAGTAGGGGTTATTTTGGTTGATTTTCCTTGGTTCGGGAAGCTGGGCGTTCATGCAATCCGTTGTCTCGTGGATGTACTAAGTCTTTTAAGATGAGGGAACGGGGCCGTCTCATAGCCTTAGGCTCCATAGACGATAGATTTTAAAAAATAAAAATAAAAATAAAAAAAGTGTTGGCGCTTGGGCTAACAGCTGACACTGTCAACAATCGAGTAATATGTTCAAAGGTAGTGGCCTGAGGGGGAGGCCGTTCTAGTGATCAAACCACAAGAAATCATCTGCACCAGTTGTTATAATGATCTCCCTACATGGTAGAATGGATTCAATTAATACATACTTAATTGCCACTAGGAAGTAGACCATGGACACAGCAATGCAGTGTAAAGCGTCCTCCCATTCGCATATACGCCCACAGGGGTAGTTCTTCTTACTCACCTTATCCCCTCCGAGCCAAATATGCAGCATCTAACCCGCTAAACTAAACTATTGTCGAGAATAGAATTTATATACTTTATGATTTCCAATCATTACAAGTCCGGAATGAAATATCGAGGACTATAATATCACTCGCAGCCCGCGTGATTAGAATGAATTCACCTTTCAGAGACCTCCAGTGGTCGCCTTCAGGGTAACAAAAATTCAACCACGTACCGGTATAGCTCCAAATTCTCGAAATTATACGGTGTCTCCGGACGATACTGCTGAAATTTCGTCCCAATTCGGTACGTGAGGCGAAACTGAGGGTAGATGAGAACAGTCCAGAGATTCTTCTTGCCATACTCCGTAGATTTTAAAAGGTGTTTATTTGAGATTCAATATTCCTCCCGTAGACTATCAGGCAACTAATCCAGGTGTTCCGGTTGTCCCTATTTTAAATAGAGCCTACCTCGCCAGGTAGTTGGCAAGGCCTAATACAATGTTGATTTTATCCCACAGACATTAATCGCACAACTTCTCGAATTATTCTCCTGCGGCGGATGCGTACGACTAGCTTGCGCAATCCCGTGAGGAAATTATTCAATATTCCTGAATTTTTCAAATATACTCTATGATACAGCAACTTAATTAGCGAAAGAGGACATGTGACCTAGATAATAACATAAGTTCAGGGTAACAGGGCTAAGTCATGGGCCGAACAGGTTTACTGAGAACATAAGGTAGGGTATATAAAAACAAAACGAGAAAAATATACCCATAATTTGAAAATAATGGTAATACACGTTGAGCCTACATGGCAGAATTGCAGAATATACCCACAATAAAGGTCTATTTCCTATGGCATTAAGCAAAAATAAATCGCTACCTTGCCGAATATAGTGCTATGAACCAGTCTATTTTTTTGCATTCGGCAATTTGAGCAACCCACTCTGTAACGTCTCGACCTATATTAGAAGGGAATTTTAAATGTAAATATCTCAACAACAAGGAGATATGAGGAAAAGAGGAGCGTATCAAATAAAAGAAATGTTGTAGATCTATACACTCCCAAGGCAGCTAATGTTCTAGCATTCAAAGGCGTACCGACTTGTGAATAAGAAGTGCATAGGTACGGGCAGGTTGCTAGCTCGCTCACTGGGTTACGTTGCAAAATCATGATGGCCGAACTCGGCGTACATATATACAAATATATGGTATTAAACACTCAGTTTTGGAGTCCGACTCTGACAGTAATGAAATGGAGCATGAAAAACCCAAGAAGCCGGTGTTGTGCCAACCAGACTAGAAGCCGGTATTTGCTAGATTATGCTGCGCCATCAGCTAGGAATTGAAAGGTAGTCTTAGTCTAGTCTAGTTGGCACCCATACCCCCCCCACTGTGGGATGCACAAGAACAATAATCACAAAAAATATGCGATGGCACTACAAAAGCTACGGTACTGACCGATACGTGACTCGAACACGCAACCTTTTGATATAATCCATAGATTGGAATCAAACGCGCTACCATTGCGCCAATCAGTCATTGAATAGTCAACTGTTAAAGCATTTCTATCTGAGAGCAAAAAAGCTCATACGACAGCTACTAATCTATACCCGCGATCGGCCTAAGGTCATGACGGGGTCCTGAAGCCTCCCCTTAAAGGTTCGACCTATGCTTTCGGTACCAGAAGCGGGGGAGGACGGCTACTAGGATACTTCAAACTGAAACCATACCACAGCAATTCAGGTGCGGCATATGCTAAATTGAAGGGGTGTGACCGAACATGATCTTGAGACCGTTGGGGTTCACCGTGCGAGGTTTTTGCGCGCAAGCCTCGAGGTACGTAGCGAAGCCATATTTGAATATTCACTTTTATCTAGCAAATGCCTTTTCCAGCAGAGTATGTAATTTCAACTGCGCCCCTGTAGCCCTGATCGTTATCTCAGCTTCATAAGTTACAGGTCAATGCTTACATGAATTTATCAACCACTTGCAGGCGTAGACAGTAGTTAAATGAGGTCATGTGCCAACCTCCAAATCATGCAAATTGGGTCCGGATCAAGAGACCAGCTCAGTTACAAGATGACCAATCTAGAATTGCGGGGATCCGTATTCTAGAGTTTAATGCCCATCTACCTGTTTTACGATATCATCTCAGCAACTGTATAAACAAAGAATGTTTCATTAATTGAGTGGGGGTAAGAAAGTCAGTGGTACATATATGGTCGCGTACGGAGCAAGAATTAGATGCCAGGATACGCGCTCTCGCTAAATTGCTGTCCAAATTAACATTGATATTGTGGATCAGCAGGAAATTTTTTTTTTTCACCGGGGTTATTTACCCACAAAAGCAATGACAAAACTTTTTTTCCCCAAAAGCCTGAGTTGAGTTTCGATTTTTAGGTATTCCTTTGATATTATTGGATGGCCTGTCTTATGTCTTAGGTTCACCCAGAGTTAGTCCGTGAAATCTCCGACTTTTTCAAGCTATCAAAACGATTGGGAAGGAAAGTTTCGGTATTTGATTCAATTCTCTGTTTCCTACTGGACTTAGTAGGCCAAGGATAGAAACGGAGTATCCCCATTCCACAGTATTAGAGTATACTTACGATCCTTATCGCACTATGCAGAGTGAGTTTTGTTGGCCATCGATTAATATTGCCACCTCGAGGTCACTCGCCCGCAGGATTTCACTCTATAATTATCAAAACGTATTATCCACATCCCCCGGAATTGCTTCCTATTTTCAAAGCTATTCTACTAGTATTCCAATTCCAGGCCCCCCCTGTCATGATAGCGCAGCTTACTTTACAGTCCCCCCTGAACTTTTGCAAGGTCAGTAAGGGCAAATGTCTGTCCTGTATCGTTGAATTATGCATGAGGGTTGAGGCAGACGAATTTTGGCACAGAATTCATGATGAACCGTGTCCTTGTTGCTACTTAGGTACTAGGCGTGTCTCAAAGATGCCGAATACCAAACTCGGACAATTCGGCACATCAACCTCTCAAACACGTAAGGAACGACCTGTGTAGGTACCGGCTGTCACGAAGGATTATGACCCAAGAACCATGCCATGATATGGCACCAGTCACGCAATGATCGTGATTGAGATGGGTCAACTGTACATGCCACAATCCCAAGCACATCTGAGGGAGGTACGGAGTACTCATCTGCTTCATATATGGGGAAACAGGAAAATCGAAATCGAAAAATGCTGGACATACTAAGTACTGCCGTTTTTCATAATTATGCCAAAATGCATCTTGTTTCATGGCTCAGGAGAAACCTTCTATGGCACTTCACCAGCAGCGAATACAACGACGGGTTTCTCGGTTAAGCTATTGTCTCATATCCATCAGCCCTGCGGCGGACTCGCTCTTGATCCAAGGCGCTTTGGCAGAATTTATATCTATTCAGATGTGCACCGATCGTGTGGTTATACGTTACCAACATTTCCAAGCCCCCGGGAGAATTATACATTACATACAGTACTTATAATTAGCGAGCCAATCAATCACGAGTCTTCTCCACCTAGGGCTCTGCCTGCTACAAAACTGTTCATTTGCCCTTCTCAAATGAGCTTGAAATCCCGGAAACCTAATCTCGTTGGTAAAAACTTAAACTTGACGACCTGCATGCATGCTGGAACTTTCCACGTAGATCGATAAGGTATGCAAGCAACACAGACATGCTCGTAACTACCCCAGTCTGAGTACAAAATTCATTCGACAGAGAGCCCCTTTGTACGGCCAAACTGAGATCTTTTGATAAGTTATGAACACCATCACACCATCATATATATCTCCTGGCCTTCTGGACGCCTACCAAACTTGGTTTAGAGGAGTTAATCCTGTTATTATTTAAGTAACCAGAGCACATTAAGATTTCCTTACCTTTATCCGGACTGTTGTATGATGAAGACCTTCATTTGGCAATTTTGCATGGTTCGGCAACCATTCCCGAGTTTAGCCCTGCAAACTTATGTCAGATTCTAGATACAGGCAAGCAATTTGAACTAGGATACGGTAGTCTTTGTTGGTATAGCCTAGAAAATTTAGGGCAATCCATCTGTATACGTTAGGATTTTTCTCTGATGCAAGCGCTTTCTTTGACTTATGAACTGCACCAATGTAGGTAAACTCAACCACGAATTACCGGATACCTAACCTAATATTCACATGAGCTACATAATTACTTTCCATAATCGCGTTGTCGCGTCGTCATGCTTTGAGGTCAAAGCGCCTCAGAACCCCGCCATCCTATCCATTACGTTATCGTTTTGAAAATTTTGAGCTACAAGATCTTAAAGGCAATCACGCTCGAGGGTCAGATGAGACTTGATGGTTGCAACTGGTACATATGTAAGTACGTTAAACTCAGAGCACGTCAACGTCCCTGCTGTCTCATGCTTATCGGAAATGTTCCCCGATCTCTGTGCAAAGGCTAGCACGTTTATTCGGGACGATTGCAATTGGACAAAAGAGTGGAAAAGTGGGCGAATATTCAGCTCTACGGTAGTTCCAACTAACGTTATTTGCTGTGTTGGAAAATTATCGCCGACCATGGGGCAAAAGAATGGCAGGGGTTTTCTAAGCGCTGGGTTGAATTGTTGGGAACCTCTCGGGTATAGAATAATAATATTGGGGCAGTCAGTACGGATATTAAGAATCTTTCCGGTATAAGATAGGCCCATTCATCCCTCGCTTCTCGGTATTATTCAATTCAGTCTATATCTATTTAGCGTAACCTTCGAGGCAAAATATATCTGTGCCGTAATCCGTGGTTGCGAGAAATCTCATGCTGTCACTCCATAAGCTTACTTTAGTTTATCCCAACTATATACAGTACAGTGTATTTTTCTGATGAATGGACGTTGGATTCAGCCAATTAGAGGCCGTATCGCAAGAACGTGCTACGGTACATACATACCTTGCAACAACAAAACCTACATCATACCTTCCCCCCCCCCTGTCATTTTCTCGACCAATAGGTGGTCCGTGTTCTCTCACGGTGCCTGCGCTTTTGAAAACGCCACATGAAAATACGAAGCTGGCATAGTGTACCTGATTGTCATGATCTAAGCTCGATTGCGGGTATCCGTATAGACTATATAAAAAATAAAAATAAAAAAAAAAAGTCGTCGTCCTCAATTCTATTAGGGGTTTTTCTCTGCTACTTTTCATTCCCTAGAACTCCTCATTCATGAGACAGTTGGCAGGAAGGGCAATTCATCGAATTATAAGGCTTATAGGGAGACTGCAATTGCGTACTTTCTGTCAGCGGCACTACCGGTACCTACACTAAACATAATGAGTAACAGAGAAAATGCACGGAGGTCCCTCCGTTAGCCAGTAGTGTTCTAAACTCCGTATGATTTGCAAGGCCTTCGTGCTGCTCTTTCTTGGCTAGTTGTACCGGGTACCGGTAATAATCGAAATCGAATTCGTAGAAATTTGAGGATGCTTTGTACCCTCGTGCAACATGCACGGCCAGGGTGCAAGTCGCACCTGTCAGGCAGGGGCGCTGGGCATCGATCCACTGTACAGATGATCTGATATTTGGCAACCCATCGGTCACACCGTTTGCACGTGCTTTACCTCCATTATTAGTATCTGAGGGGAAAGAAACAGAACAAGTACAGTAGAATACATATGTAAGTAGGCGATTACCGGTGTATGCACAACACAAGGAATATTAGCTCCCGCCTGATAAGTTGACCAGGTTCGCGGCAACACGAAAATTAAACTTAATTACAGTAGTCTCATGCCAATTACAGGAACCCCTGCCTAGCTCCTTACTAGGGAAGGTGCATGTACTCTAGCCTCGTATCCAGGTTAATATTTTTGTAGCGTTCGCGAGACCTTGTGCACGTGACAACGCCAAGTAACTCCCTACAACAGACTGGTTACGAGGCTACATGTACAGGTACGGTAGTCTGGTTGATACATTAAGTATATATTATAATATTAGGGTCGGTTCAGGACAAGACTTCCAGGAAGCTGCAGCACGCGACTATTTACCTTCCTTGATCGTTGGAACGGGATAAGACCGTGAGATTGGAATTATTGGTCTCGTGCCCAGACCCTCGTAGAGGGGGAAAACTCGCATCTGTCGCACATGCATATGGAACGTGGAACCTCCGAGACATTGTGGAGAGATATAGGACAAACATGCGTGATAGAAGGTTGTTCATTGGCATATGGCAAATGTGGCGACGGGGCCCTGGCCGAGGGAATCGTTGCGCACAGACTTTTGGTGTCCGTCATTTGCGTCAACGAATAAAACGTATTCTAAGCCAAGAGAGTCTGGGCACGAGAAACAGAAATCTCCAGCGGGGAATTTGGGGGAACCAGGCTTGGCACAACATGACCACTCGGCCGGCTGGGATATTGGAGGGGGGGGGCAGCTTCCGACCATTCATGGCTCATGGCTTCTTACAGCAGCGTGGGGTGGAGCTATATAGGGGCGAGATCAATCAGCTGGTTGAGATCAGTACCGCTGATCTGGTTCAATACCTCCCCTAGGTACGGGCTCTTTCAT